AATAGATTCTCCCTTAGAGACACCAGAAGGGAACACAGCCTTGCCAACATTGTGAATTTGGAAGAGGGACACCCACTTCACACTACTCACCTCCAAAATCAGAAAATAATAATTTGTGCTGTTTTAAGTCATTAAATTTGTGATAACATACAATAGCAGCAATAGGACAACAATATATCCAATTTACTAGAAGCTGATCCTGCATATATTGTAAAGAGTGTAGTTAAATACTAAAATAAGATGATAATAGTAGCACTATTCCATCTTTCTGGTTATTTTAAGTGCATTATTATTTAAAACATTACACTATCACATATTATGGTGTGATAACAAATAGAATAAGGGAATTGCTTGTTTGATCCAATTTTTTAACAAATTGTTTTTTCTTTTCTTTTTTTTTTTTGTAATAGTGATTGATGCACCCTACTTTAAATACTGATTTATTTGAAGCCAAAAGAAGAAAAATTTCCAAATGGTAACCAAATATACTCATCTCTGGCAAAGTGATAGAAATTGAAATTTTTGCTGGGCCCCACACTAAAAAGTTATAGCTAAGAAGGGAATAGAGAATTTTGCTAAAAATATTATCTTGACATTTTTTAACAAATAACAATCTAAATAATCACAGCTTTGATCATTCACTACATGTGAGTTCTTGAGAGAGATTTTACATTTGTTTAAATCACATTACTGAATCAAATTATTCTTTAAATTAAAACCAAACTTGATCTATTTAAAGTGTGCCAAGTTACTAAGCCTGACTGCTATGTGTTTGCTCATAGCAGCTGCTAATCCTAAAAGGACTGGCACAGAGCATGTGAGGAGCCTGGGAATGGGATTCTATGACACATTATGATGAGCAGAAATTTCCTCCAGACAGCATATGATACATTGTTTTCATTGGAAAATTAAATGAAGCTCAAAAAATATAGATGCATATTTTGTTAGGGATGTATATGTGTATAGTGTCAGTAAAGATGGCATTGGGAGAATCAGATTTTAATTCCGCTGATCCTGGAATCGGCAGATGTTCCAATAAGTAATAAGGTTTATTAAATAAACAATGTTAATTAAATAGCATGCTGCTTAGTAATTGAACAACCTTAGACAAGACAGTTAACTCTTCTTGGCTTTACTTGTATTATCTCTAAAATAATCAGGAATAAATGGAATAATAACTAAAGTTCTTCCCTAATATTCTACATTAAATAATGTGTATCCACCCACACATACACACACTTATGAACACATGATATTGTAGGTAATACAGTAATTAGAACCCTTTCCTAACATTCTGAATATTTTTTTAAATAAAAGTTAATGACAATACTATCTTAAGTGCATTGCTACATGAGATCTTTTGTGGAGGGGGAGATGGAGAAAGGTATATTTCCTTGTGTTTAGGGCAATGGACTTCAATGTCGGCTTAGGTTCTTTCCATCCTGAGCGTTTGTTTATGGCTCTTTTGATATAGTTGGAGATCATACTACTGTAGAGAGCTGTTACAAAGTATAAAGTATTTCCCTCTGGTGATATTCTTTTATTGGTACCTATTCAAAAATTTGAAGATGTCCTCCTATGGAAAAAATGTTGGCACTCCTCTTGCCTGTCTGTGAAACTGCTCAGTGAGGATAATGATGGTTCTTCTTAATGTGTGCCTGCAGTTGCAATTAAGAGGTTCCACCAAAGGATTTTTAGTAGGACTTGACTTTATATAATAGGCCATATCCCTTTTATACTGAACTTTTCTGGTTCCAAAAAACTATTGCTTAATGTGGCTTTTCAAAGAGTACTTTTAGCCTAATACCTGAATACCTGGGATAATAGGATAAGTGTAATGCTATGAATATTAATAGTACTATTAATTTTATTCCACTTTTATATTGTAAATGGGAGCCAAATTAATTTCTTGGATCAAGTTAGTGATTTTGAAGTCAAACTTAAATTGCATTGAAGGTCAGATTTACCATATACTGACAGTATGTGTTTGGATAAATTATGTGATCATTATGAAACTTTGTTTCCTTATTCATAAAATATAGAAAATATTTTGTTTCCTAAAGTTATGTGAAGACTGTTGTAGGGTATAAAACATATTATCTTTCTTTTTATATTCTCATTTTACATGTTATAATAATATCAACGGATATAAGAAAATCAAAGCACTTGATGTGAGTATTAATGTGATTTTATTTGTTTTAACATTTTGACCTATTCAGGAAACTTTGAAAAGAAAATTAAAGCTTAAACCTATACTTGAGAAGTATATACGAAATTGAGATAAGCCAATATGTTTTCAGTACTATATATAGTGAAAACCATCATGATGTAGGTAGATATTAAGCAAATGTACTGGATATAGAAGGGAAGTTCAATTTTGGGAATTCAAAAAAGTCTTTTCAAATGAGGTGAACTTGATCTAAAGCTTAACAAAGAAGAATGAGAATAAAATAAGCAGAGGAAGAGGATTTAGACAAGTATTTAAATGGGAAAGATAAGCATGCAAAGTTGTGCTGAGTTCTCTGTATGAAAAAGAACTATCAGTAGTTTGGAATGGTGGAGCTTGCATGAGGAGTGGGAGGAGTCTGATATTTAGGGACTGTACACACAGGATAAGATGAATTTATTCTGAAATTGTGAGGAGAATTGAACTTTTTTTTTAATAGAGAAGGGATATAATAGATTTATTTTCAATCATTTTCCCAGTGGCCTATGGTGATGGATGAAGAGCTGAAAGGGAAAAGTGAGGAAAAGTAGAAGCAAGAATAGAGGTATATATTTTGTGGGGGGAAGTTCTACGTACTTAGAAATCAAGAATAAAATTGAATTATATGAAAGCATTAGAAATAAATAGGATTGACAAGAGAGACACATAAGAGAGAAACTGTATTTGTTTACTCATTGGTCAAAGGTGGGAGTGAAGGATAGAAGAGTCTGTCTTGGTCTCTTATTTAATTTTTGGATTGAACAGCTCATACTCTTACTGAAATAGAGATCTGGGAAAAGCAAAGATTTGAAGGGAGAGAAATTAAATTTATTTATTTGCACATTTATACTGAGGTACTTGTGAAATTGAATCTCAATTGCAGGTTCAAAGCTTAGAAAAATAGATCAGACCTGAAGGTGTAGATTTGAACATGAATCTGAGTATGGTGATTGAAACCACATGCATTAAAGTGATCATCTTGGAAAATTTTAATTGTCCCTCACTTTGGTGTAACTATATTGTTGGTAATTATCAAGTTTTCTCCCTATAACATCATCAGAGAGCAAATCTAGTATACTTCATTGATTTTTTTTTTCAGTGCATCAACACTAGAATAAGTTGATTAAAGAGTCATACTATTTTAGATTTTGGATTGAGTTGTCCTTCTAAATTAAACAGTTCTATATCTACCAATGGCATTGTCGCTTTTATATTATGTTGAGCTATAATTTGAAGTAAAGGTGTATGCCTGTTTTAACATTTTACTATGTGATAAAATTGGTAATTCAAGATTTCTTTCAAATAAATGGGTTTGGCTTGAAGACAAGACTTGTCAAACAAGAATTCCCATATTTTAAAGGCCCAAAGCAGTTTGTTTTAATGGAAATAAATTATATCTTTGTCTCTCACAAGTCTATTAAGAGTTAGGTGACTAGACTAGACAATAAAATAGTATAGTATGTAAGTCTCAACATCATTAGTGTTAGATTTGTCTTACTAATGATAGAATTGTATAATTATAAAATATTGTATCATAACTTTTGGAATCACCTCATCATTTTACATTTGAATAATATTTAATGTAGACAACTTTTTAATATTAAACATCCCCAAATCCAATATGCTTTAATTCTTCTTGATTGTAACTTATAGATTTTTAATGGTATACTACTTTTTACAAAGGAGTTCATTGACTTTGTTTTTATTATAACTTATTTTAATAATTTATGTGCTAGATGTATAAATTCTGTTTCAATAGCCCTTTTCAATGAGGTATACTTGGTATAATGAAGTAGAAATCTTAGTTCAGGGGCATATCATTGAGCTTATAAGAATTAGTACAATCTAAAATAGTAGGTGAAAATTTAAATTGTGCTAATTCTAAACATTAAAATCTAACTGTGTAAAGCATTAACAGCCCTTACTAGTGTCATAAATCATATTAACTTTTTATCAAGGCAACAAAAATTGCTATATTTTGCAGTACTTTTTTCCCCACAGTTTAGTCTGTTAGAAGTTAATTTGGGCTTTAGGCCAAGTTGAACTTTGGAGAATTTTTAAGTTTGAAGGACTGTCTCACAGTTGGAAAGCACCCTAAAGTGGATTGATTGTAGAAGAATATGTTTTCTATTATCTAGCTCTCTCCCAAACTATTTCTTGTAGCTTGAAAATAATAAAGATTTTGTAAGCCCCAAGTGGTCTTTTTTGATCCATGAATGAAGTTACCCTGGATTCATATAACAAAAATCTGACTTCCTTTCAGCCATTGAAATTCAAAACCCTTCTATTTATTAGGATGGAATAAGGAAATTCCTCTAAAAAAATGTCAAAACTTTATATTAAATGAAGTCAATGTGAGTATATGTGGAAAGATTCCATTTTATTTAGGATGAATACAATAAGAAGTGAAAGGAAATATAAGGAGGAAAATGGAAGCTGGCTAATTAAAACAGAATATTAGAGAATGCATTCAGATAGCCTTTAAATTGACCTTTTATTTTCTTTGATGGAATCATACTTTTTTCTTTTACTAATCACAATAGAATAAATATCTTTAAATGCTTAGAACTTACAAAATTCTAGAAAAGATCCTTGATTTTTTTAATTGCTTCAATTTTTTTTTATTTCCCAGAATTCAAAAATGAAAAACTGTGTTTGAAAATACAACTTGTTTCTCTAGCCCAGTGACATATCCGTAATGCTGTTTACCCATGATACACTGAATATAATTAGTACATTTCTATGAAAGAAACCAAGTGTTTCTTTCATAGAATCCTCTCTCTGACTTCTCTAGAACTATACTGCCATCATTTACACTGACACAGAAAAATTGAACTGCTATGGGATGCGAGTAAATTTGCAACATGAGGACAGTAGAGTCTGGATCTTCATTCCAAATTCTAGGCCACATGTACCAACTCATATATAGGAATTGACTTTGGAAGTAAGTTCCCTCATAGTAAAATTGTGAAATATTATGATTTATTTAATATAACCATCTGACACAAAGGAAACAACTACAAAATCACAATGTGTAAGAACTGGCACAGTCACTGGCTTTGCCAGGTGAAAAGGAATTGATGCAGCATGGTGAACTTGGATCATGCATGTGTCACCAGTGAACCCAAACAGAGAACTCTTTATTCCAATAATATGCCTATTTTCATTTTCCTGTGTCAAGAAGAAAAGGGGATATGGAAGAATATAAAAAATCTGCAGATAATCTTTTTTTTATTTTTAGAGAGAGAGAGAGAGAGAGAGAATGAGAGAGAGAGAGAGAGAGAGAGAGAATTTTAATATTTATTTTTCAGTTTTTGGCGGACACAACATCATTGTTTGTATGTGGTGCTGAGGATCGAACCCCGGGCCGCACGCATGCCAAGCGAGCGCGCTACATCCCCAGCCCTGCAGATAATCTTTAAATGATATTTTAGACAATACTTTTTACTTCCTGTCCTATCAGGTTTTTTAAATGAGATTTTCAAAAAAGGGTTGCTTTGTCCTTGTCCCTGCCTGCCCTCTCGTGGAGAACAGCAGGACAATAAAAAGAAAGTAAAGGAGAAAGACACGTGGCAGAAATGTCATGGAGAGATGATGAATAAGTACTGAAGACAGGTATCACCACAAGTAATTGGGTGATTGCTTTTAGTGAGAATTTTATTTGTATTTTTCAAAATAAAGCCCTATTCTTAATATTAAATTAATTTTAGCTACCATATATCAACTGGCTCACTGTGCTTTAATATTGCAAGAGAGAATCCCAGAGGAAAGGGAAAACAAGAAAAAAATTGTTAGGCACTCTACTTTCCAAGCCTTAACTAAATCATTGTCTAGTGCTGACTTCCTTCTTAAAATGATTTTTGTAACTGAAAGAGTAACAGTGCCTCATTTTCATGAGAATATTTGGGCAATTGGGTAAGGGAAGACCTATTACTTCCCAGTCCTGTTTAAATATCTTCATTAATAGTTTTATATTTGCTCATTCAGGCAGTATTCTAAAAAATAAAAATAAAAAATTCTGTTTCTTGATTTCATTGGACTATTAAAAAACCATGACTTCTAAAGGTTCAATCAGGGACATTTGCAGTAAACAAACAACCCTTGACTCATAACCAATAACTGAATAAATAATAATTTTATTATAAAATAACGGGAAAGCTCAAATCCTTCAATTCTAAATCTTCCCCTCTATTTCCATAATAAACCAGAGGCTACAGAGCATTTTACATCACCATCTTTTAACAATAATAACATTTAAATATCAAGCATTTTTAGGTTTTCTTATGCCAATAGATTTTAGAGTATACCCAAATTTCTGACTTTGGCCATGAACTTCAGCCCAACTCTTCCCTTCCACAGCTGTTCACTGGATGCATTCTTACTTAAATAATGGGGCTCTGTGGAGAAGACTCAAGGGACTTGCATGGACAGAGTGAGCTGAAAAAGAGAAAGGGATGAAAGAGACTTTAAAAGATGAAACAAATGTTTAGAGTTTATGTAGGTCAAGACATTTGAAGTTTGCTTTCATTTATATTGTAATGTGGGGATTTTCTGTTCTTTGAGAAGAAAGCCTATTTATTTTATAGAATAAAAAGTTCTAAGGATCCTGTCAAACATTAGATGAGGATATTGACTTTACTATTATTATCTGGGGAGGAAAAAAAAAAACCTGAAAGTAGACCTAACATTGATTTCTACCTTAGACTTGGGACTCTAGGAATTCATAGAACATATTGTTGAGTATTTTGAGTTATTGGAGATATTTCCCCAGACCTATTCTCATGCAGATAAATATCATTATTTTAATGATATATGTAAAAGATTAATTAGAGAATCAATCCTCACAAACAAATAACAACAAAAAAAATCTGGGTGCACGCACATGCACTTAGAAGCCTATGTACACATGCTTCTTATTTTTCTTTTCTACCTAATGTTTGTAGATCAGGGCCAACGTAATATTCCAATTTTTTTTTTCCATAGCTTGCATCCAGTTCCCAATGCTCTGCTCTTTTCTTCTGCTTTTCAGCACCTTCATTTTCCTCACATTCTTTCATGGCAGAGCACAACTCTCTCACTTTTTCTAACAAGAAACACACATTGCAGTTAAACAGCCGAGGTCGTCCCCGTGCTCGCGTCACAGGTCAAGCAAGATCACTTACATTTTTTAGGGGGTCACTTCTTCTCACTGGGTGGGATATAACCTTTTTTCCTTTTCCTAGAAAGGAAACCACCCCAGATGTTCGCCACCCCTTCTCTCTTTCTCTCTTTCATTCTCTTCCTTGTTGGAAGCCAAACACACATACTCAGACATTAATCTTGCTAGTTATCTCCTACTCTGTTGGTAAAGCAGTGATCTTTATTTCTACCTAATGTATTTTAAATACCCAAACCAAACACTGATACCAAAAACAAACATGAAAGCCAGATATTTAGATAAACTTGAGGAAATAGATTATTTTTTTTTCACTTTGTATATATAATCCTAAAGTGCCTGTGATATTTTCAGCATTTTTATAAAGTCATTTGAGTATGTTTCTCTCTGCTTCTGTGTCGCCATCTTAATGTCATCTGTGGGCTGCACTTTTTTTCATCACCATCTGCATTTTGCACTTTTTGAGATGGAGTTCTAAGAATGTGTTTACTTTTGTTCTTCCTGTGTGGATTAGGCCTCTTGCCTCTTGATTGAACGTGCCAAATACCCTGGGTCTTTTGAGATCCTTCAGATTTTCTCATTGAATATATATGGTACAATCAAGTTCACAGGATTTGTGCACTAATTACTCATATACTAATGATTTGCCAGTTTATCTTTGATAAGAGTAGTGAATGGCTGGATGTGGTGTTTTCACACTTGTAATCCCAGCAACTCGGGAGGCTGAGGCAGGAGGAATCACGGGTTCAAAGCCAGCCTCAGGAATTTAGGGAGACCCTGTCTCTAGATAAAATACTAAAAAAGGTCTGGGGATGTGGCTCAGTGGTTAAGTATGCCCCTGGGTTAAATCCCTAGTAAACAAACAAACAAACAAACAAAAAGGGAGTAGTGAAAGAATGATATAATCTACAGAAATTACTAATCTGAACAAAAATGTCATGACTTAAACCTGATCTTTGTGAAGATCAACTGTAGTTAATGGGCTCATGTGGTACATATTAGTTGAAAAATATTACTAAATTTCAGGTACTATTCCAGATGATGGGGATAGATCATGAGCAGAACAAAACAGAAGACTGCTCTTCATGGAGCTTACAGACTAGTGAAAATAGACTTTCTAATTGAAAACATATTAGAAAATAAATATTTGCTTTGTAACAAGCACTGAGCCAAATGTCCTACACAGTACTTTTTTTTTAATGTATTTGTAATGTTAGTTAATAGGAAGATTTTAATTTTGATATATTTTATCCTTCCCATCTATTTTATTTTCCTAAATTAGTTCTTATTACATTCTGAAGTTGAAACAAAATAATGCATTTTGAGATAACAAATCTGTCAGAACGCCCTACATGTGTGTTCACCATGTCTGTTTTATTAGAGAATATTCATAACCTATAAAAATCCATAACCAAAGAGATTTTAAAAAATAACTCCATTGTCTAATTTTTCAATTAGAGGAATAGGTCTGCAAATTAAAGTCACATTTCCCTTGAAATAAACTATATCTTTCCACAGAAATTTTATTTGACAGATGAAAAAAAATTATGAAGACCAAAAAAACGTTTATCTTGAAGAAAATTCTAAAATTTTACCCTGAAAAAGATCTAATGATAAATAAATATTTATTGAACAAAAGATTAACTATAAATATTTTAATTGTGAATTAGTACAAAACAAAATAAAATGACAGGAAAAAAAAACCCAGAAAACTTGAGGTACTAAAATGAGTTTTATCAAATTTCATTATGCTATGTCTGCTCCAGGTATTTTAAAGTAAATAAAATATTATAAACTCAAGTTGAAAAGCTCTGTTTGTATACTATTCTTTAATATAATACCATTTGCCTACTTCAGCAACTTCAGGTAGGATTACATTTTGACTTTCATCTGCGCTGGGCACTTGCTTTCTTGAGCCCATTTCTACATCAGTACGTTAACTGTGTTAAAATTATATTTAATCATGCTGGTATAAAGATGAATTTTTGTGTTTTTTTATTGATTACTAGTATTTTAACTTTTTCCCCTTTGGTTTTAAATTAAAACATTTACATGATCCTCTAAAAGTATCATAGGGTCTCAGCACTGTGACTTTTGTACCTATAGGACAATCAGCCCCAAATTTAGCTCTTAACATTGCTATGTTCTCGCTTTTTTATTTATCTATGATTAGTTCTTGAATTACCAGTTATATCATTGGATTTTGGATATTTTGACAACTGGTCTCATTATTTTGTTCCTCATGTGCAGGCGTTGTTAAAAATCTGTTTGTGTATGTGTGTGGATAAAGTACAACGAAGACACTTTAAATTTCACCCCCACAAATGCTTGCAATCATTGAAACAATGTTAAGTATGAGAAAGACTTCTTAGTAACCTATTGTTTCATAGAACAGAAGAAATCTTTTTCTTATGTTCTCCAGTATAGAAATCATCTCTGTGTGTTTATATGTGTTTGAGAGACAGGTGTTAGTTGAATCTTTTTTTTTCTAAGTGTAACTTATAATATGCAGAAAAAATACACTAAAATGTTGGCATGTTTGGCCATTAATCCCTGGAAAAATGTGCATTTTGCCATGGAGAGAGTATCTGCTGCTGTTTGGCTTTAGAGTTCACTGCCATAATTTCTGTCATTTTTTTTGGACAAGTCATGCTACAGAATGTCATCCACACCTTTAAGATTTACTAATTTCCTCCAGGAGGTTATACTGACTATTTCTCATGCCAGTTACTGGTAGAAAAATAGCTTCTACCATTCATCAGTTGAGGTAATGCTCTAGCACTATTCAA